TACCCTAAGCAATTAAAAGAAAGGTTTGCATCGGTCTGAAGATTGATTGATAAATCGGTTAAGGGCCACAACCATGTCTGTTAACCTTTGGACTTCCTTGATTGAGGAAGGCTTCTTAATTGCCTGTAAAGCCTTAATATGATCTAGATCAGCTTATATCCTTCTTCATGTCACCAAGTGTCCTAAGAACTTCCCAGAGCTCACTTTGAAGGCACACTTTGAGGTGTTAAGCCTAAGCTTATGACGCTTCAAGATATCAAATACGTCTTGAAGGCCAGAGAGGTGGTTCTATGACTCCTTGCTCTTAACCACCATATTATCTATGTACACCTCCATCGTTTGGCCGATNAAAAAAAGAGTTTTTTGAGGGGGTTATACCTAGTTTCTTCCCACAATAAAGTCTTGCTTACAAAATAGATAGGCTTTTGATCCCTCCCTTCTGCCCGTAACAACACTCCGCTTATAGCGTGTTCGGACACGGCTAAATAGAGTTGAAGTTCTTCCCCCTGCGAAGGAGTGAAGAGTAAAGGAAGTGTCTGGAGGTAGCTTTTCAAGTCATCGAGAGCCTTATCACACTCATTATCCCAATGGAAAACTCGACCTACCCTAAGCAATTAAAAGAAAGGTTTGCATCGGTCTGAAGATTGATTGATAAATCGGTTAAGGGCCACAACCATGTCTGTTAACCTTTGGACTTCCTTGATTGAGGAAGGCTTCTTAATTGCCTGTAAAGCCTTAATATGATCTAGATCAGCTTATATCCTTCTTCATGTCACCAAGTGTCCTAAGAACTTCCCAGAGCTCACTTTGAAGGCACACTTTGAGGCGTTAAGCCTAAGCTTATGACGCTTCAAGATATCAAATACGTCTTGAAGGCCAGAGAGGTGGTTCTCTGACTCCTTGCTCTTAACCACCATATTATCTATGTACACCTCCATCGTTTGGCCGATCATAGAGCCAAATAACTTTGTCACCATTCTTTGGTAAGTAGCTCCTACGTTCTTCAAGCCGAAAGACATGACCTTTTAGCAATAGATCCCTTTTGGTGTGATAAAAATTGTCTTCTCCTCATCAGGCCCAAACATGAGAATTTTATGGTAGCCTCTATATGCATCTAAGAAGCTCATCCTTGCATGGCTAGATGTGGCACCCAAAAGCTAATCAATCTTTAGGAGTGGAAAAAGGTCCTTTGGGTAGGCCTTGTTGATGTTTGTGAAGTCAACACGTACTCACCACTTTCCATTCTTCTTCTTGACCGCAACAGTGTTTGACANTAAGAGCAATGAAGGTTTTGGTCTCTCTTGGAGGGGTCCCCCATCTTCTTCGATGGCCATCTGAAATATTCTTTGTCTTTAATCTAATTTAAAATTTGATAGATTGGCTCTCTGAAAATAGTATCAACTCTTTGGGATGAGTTCTTCATCCCCTTTGACGTTTCTCCCCTCTTTGATGGGTATGTGGGGCTACCCTCCTTCCCTTGATTCTTCCTCGGTGGAGATACTAGCCAATCAATTGGCCCTTTGTCATCTTCCACCTTTACATATCTTCTGATGTGCTCTTGCAAGTGGTACATACTCTTGGGTGGCCACATAGTGAAATGTTTCTGCAACTCACTCTCCCTTGGGAGGCCCAAGTGAAAAGAGACAACAATGGTCTTCTCGTCGCATTCTTTGATATTGGCATAAGTCTCTAGGTATCTCATGGCGTACTCCCGGAGAGTCTCTCCTCGTTTTTGGTGTAGTACCAAGAGTGTATCAATCGTCATGGGTTCTCGGCTGTTAGCTTTGAATCGAGAGACAAACTTCCCAACGAGTTGTTCCCAAGAGTAGATTGAGTTCACGGGCATCCCATGAAACCACTTAAGCGTTGAGTTCCCCAAACTAGAAGGGAATGTCTTGCACATCAATGCCTCATGGCTTGTCCAGAAGGCCATCTTGTTGGTGTAAGCTCCTATGTGAAGCATGAGGTTGGACTTGCCATCATATAACTCGAAAGTCAGTGGATTGAACTTCCGTGTGGGTTCAAATTCTTGTATGGACTAAACAAAATGTGTGGTAGTCATCCTTGCGAGGGTTTTCCTCACCCTCTCCTTTGCTGAATATCATGAGCATAGTCATGTTGCACCCGGGGTGGCCACATCATGAGTTGGCTTAGAGTGTCTTCATTTTTCTCCTCTATCATTGTCATAATGGTCTTCCCTTTGATAGCACAAAGGACTCTTATGCCATCCCTTTTGCTCCCTAGGTTGATGTTGTCTATGTGTTTCGCACCTTCCCCTACGATAAGGGTAATCATGCCTTAGAGAAGGGTCTCTGAGGGTGCGATTAGTAACGCTTTTCCTGGGTGAGTACCTGTTTCGACTCTGATTATGGGTCGAATAACTCCTTGCTCGAGAATAGCTCCTACGTCAAGAAGAACAAGCTTCCTAAATGTGATTGTTATGATGATCATGGTTACGAGTTGACCGCTTGACCTCGCTAGCAAGTTGCTTGACGTAGAAGGCCTTGCCTGAGAGCTTCTAGCTCCTCTATCTTCTTCCTGATTGACTTATGGTAATCAATTTCAGTGGATAACTTGCCTTCTCCACTGAGAGTAAGAATGTTGTAGTGAGAAAGAGGAATTTTTTTTTGAGTGGTCCTGCCTAACACGAGGCAACACCTCATCTGATAACTGGAGATCATAGTTAACGGGATCCTCGTGGATCGAGGGTAGTGGAGGTATTGAACGANCTCATGGTAATCAATTTTAGTGGCTAACTTGCCTTCTCCACTGAGAGTAAGAATGTTGTAGTGAGAAAGAGGAATTTTTTTTTGAGTGGTCCTGCCTAACACGAGGCAACACCTCATCTGATAACTGGAGATCATAGTTAACGGGATCCTCGTGGATCGAGGGTAGTGGAGGTATTGAACGACTGGTTCTAGGATCGAGGGCTATCTCGCTGGTCATGGTTTTAAGGCTTCTTGGTTAGTAGAAAAATTAATCATTTCCTACAGACGATGCCAATTGTACAAGAATAAATCCACACAGAGAGTAATAACNTTGGTTCTGGGATCGAGGGCTCTCTCGCTGGTCATGGTTTTAAGGCTTCTTGGTTAGTAGAAAAATTAATCATTTCCTACAGACGATGCCAATTGTACGAGAATAAATCCACACAGAGAGTAATAACCTTGTACAGATGGAGAAGATGACAAATAAGCCTTGGTGAACCTACAAGNCTGGTTCTAGGATCGAGGGCTATCTCGCTGGTCATGGTTTTAAGGCTTCTTGGTTAGTAGAAAAATTAATCATTTCCTACAGACGATGCCAATTGTACAAGAATAAATCCACACAGAGAGTAATAACCTTGTACAGATGGAGAAGATGACAAATAAGCCTTGGTGAACCTACAAGACAAGAAAATGCCTAGGTGAACCAATGGCTAGAGGCGGCCAAAGGGACTCTGCTATTTAAGTCAGTAAGCTAGTTGAAGAAAAAGTGTATGGTGAATAGGCTAGGATTGAATTACATACTTGGTACCCATAACCTTTATTTATAGTGACATAAGAAGCCGTGTTCCAAGTAGAATCGAACTCTAAGTTGTGATAAGATAGATCTCATCACCAATCTCCTAGGTGTTTGAGGTAGAATCATACTAGGACATCGAGTCCTAGCTTGTAGGTAAGGATATGCTTGCTGAGAGGCTTTGTTTATCAACATTCATTTGATACTCAGAGTTGAGTTCTACTAGGACTCTAGGTCTTGAGTCAGTCTTTACCTAAGTAGCAAGCTTGGTACCGGGCAGGGGCGACAGTTGGACGAAAGATGTGGCTGTGCCATGGGTGATGGCGAGGCTAGGCACAAGGCTCGCAGGTGACGGAAGCAAGGCAGTGATGCTGGCAGCTGGCTGGGCGACGCTTGGGCGCTGTTGGGGTGCTGTTGGTGCGCCTGAACTGTTGTGGGCGACACCTGCTGACAGCACTTGGGTGACGCCTTTAGTTGCTCATTTGTGTGGGTGGTGCCCCACTGCTACTTTAATGGTGGTTTGTACCACAGTTCGTTTGCGAACATGCGACCATATGTGTTATAGTGAGTGAGTTTGGTACTGTGTGGGTGTGGGTGTTATGTGGGCGGCGCTCCACTGCTACTTTAGTGAAGGTCTGTCCCACACACGTAATGCCTAATTATAGACAATAAATAATTTGGGTAGCTTTTGATAAAAATTTGGATCGCTGTTGACAANCGTACTGTATTCTCTCACTGAACTTTTTTTTTTTTTTTTCTTTTTACAGGTTCAAGTCAGATGAGGAGAGAACACCAGTTNCCACACACGTAATGCCTAATTATAGACAATAAATAATTTGGGTAGCTTTTGATAAAAATTTGGATTGCTGTTGACAAAAAATATGTAATATGAGTTGCTTTTAACCAAATTCTGGATATCTTATGATTAAAAAATTGCATAATTTTGGATAGCTATTTGATCAAAATTTGCGTAAAAATTTGTTCAAGAGTTATTTAAATTATTTGTTTATCCATACTTAAGTATCATGTGATAAATTTATAATAAAAAATCGTCAACAATATAACTGCTGTCTACTTGAGGGACTATATAAAAATATATTCAATATTTCAATGAGTAAAATGATACAATTAAAATATTATGAATTAAAATGAGATAAACCCTATGCTTTAAGGTCTTATGATACAATTAACCTTTAACCTGAAATAGTTAGTATTTTTTATCCCCTTCAATTATTCTATTTAATTGAGGAAGCAAAGTGAAACAAATCCAATTTGGGGGGACAAAGTGTAATTAACCCCTTATATTTTTTTTCTGCTCAAGCCCTCGACAATTACTCAGTTTTGTAATAAAATGAGAAGCCGCCGCCATGAAAATGGGAACTAAACAGCGCGTGAGGTCACGGTGAGAGTCAACCAATAGTAGTTAAACAACCAACCCACAAACCTCTCTTCCTCTCCCAAACCCTAATGATTTAAATACTAACACTCAATTCTTCGCTGTCACCCTCCGCAATCTCCTTTACTGCTCCCTTCTCTCTCTTGCTCTGCACTTTCTCACAATTGTTTTCTCTCTCTTATCTCTCTCTTGACAAATATAGAGATATCCAAATGGATCTTCATAGTCTGGCTATCATCCTACAAGGTGCGCTCAGCCCCAATCCCGATGAACGAAAAGCCGCCGAGGAGAGCCTTAATCAGGTCCTCCCCACTGCAGATTCTATTTTTTTTTCTTTTGTTTAGAATTCGCTTCATCGTGTTATTTATTGTTATTTTTGATTGTCTATTGATCGAAAATTTAATATATTGTATGACTAGGAATCGCAATTCATACTTGATCATAGTAGGTCATCTGGTTTTTAATGCAAATTTGTTGTTATGTAATTGTTGAATCCGCTAAACAAAATTCAATTTTTGTTAGGCTATTGGGCGAGGATTGTAGAATTGAAGTTTCACGTACTTAAAAGATTTTGAATTGTTCTATTTACTTCCTCAGATAGCTCAGTTTACGAGGGATCATTGAAATTGTATTGTTTTGCAGTTTCAGTATACGCCTCAGCATTTGGTGAGGCTGTTGCAGATCATTGTAGACGGCAGCTGTGACATGGCAGTACGGCAGGTCGCGAGTATTCATTTCAAGAACTTTATTGCGAAGAACTGGTCCCCTCATGATCCGGGTATAGCCGCTGTAATGAGATTTTATGTGGGTTGCAGTTGAACTCATGTTTTAAATTTTTTATGCCTATTGTCTATTGCTATATCAATGTAGGTGAGCAATCAAAGATCTTGCCCAGTGATAAAGACATGGTCAGACAGAACATCCTTGTGTTTATTGCCCAAGTTCCCTCATTATTGAGGTACTCTGTTTTAGATATGACATTTTCTTTCCTTTGGTACATGCAATGCATTTTTAAAATACTTCATAAATAATGAGATAATTCTTAGTGTTTTCAATATTTTTTAATCAGCAAGTTTTGTTTTCGTCAGAGAGTGGAAGAGAGACGTTTAAGTTCTAAATTTGTATGTGTCTTAGTATGAGAAAGACCAAGTGGAAATCTTGTGTTAGTTTGCAGTTGAGAGAGGGAGACACCAAGTGCAGACAACCTCTTGCTCTCCCTCACCATATATTATGGGATTACTTTGTTGTTTACATATTAATTCTGAACCTTTTCTTCTTGTACTTTGCTTAACAGGGTACAACTGGGTGAGTGCCTCAAGACAATAATACACGCAGACTACCCGGAGCAATGGCCAAGTCTTTTGAATTGGGTGAAGCATAATTTGCAAGACCAGCAAGTTTATGGAGCTTTGTTTGTGCTCCGGATTCTTTCTAGGAAATATGAGTAAGTGCATGATGCATATGATATGGGTGGTCTATGTCGAACTATTAATGCTACACATATATTTCGTATATGAATTTTTCGCTGGTGCTTTTTGCGTATTTTTTGGTATGATGGTATAATTGCACCTAGTTTGTGAAATGGGGAGGTATTTGTTATGGGTGCATGATGACATACTCATCAACTTTTCTCCTCTTGTGCTATATTATGGTTCTATATTGTTGTTGCAATTAATGACAAAACGTCCTGCTGCGAATCATTCTTTTATTATTTAGACACTCATTATCAGCTAGGTGCATTATTTTGGGCTGTCGTAAAGACTTCTTCTCCAAGCATTTGAATTTCATTGATGATATTGCAAATTTTTTGCGCTGAAGATAAACAATTTTTTGCCAAGGTCGAAGTTCTCTACTTCTCCAAGGGGATTACACCGTTTTTTTTTCCCGGGATCATGTCTCTTGATATTGCAAATTCCTATGATCGGACCTTTGGAAAAAACAGGCCAACTGCAAATGATAATCTAATATGAGAAATTCCTTTTCCTCCATGTTGGGGGAATCAATTTCGGGAGTTTTACCAGAGTTGGCCCTAGCCTTTAAGGCTACCACCTAGGGTTCCCAAATAAATAGTAGAATTTGGGGCCCCTAAAGATTTTTTTAAAATCTCTTAAAAAAATTTAGGGCCCCTATTTTAACTAGGCTAGGTAATTTTAGGTACGATTTACTTGGAATTAACTGGTTTGAGGGTAGTCTTAAATGATTCGGGTGATAAACGGGTGAATTTGTTTGGCCTTTCAAATAAATTGGTCAACATTTACCCATCTAAGCACGACATAAACCCTCTAAGTACGACATATATACAATACAAACCTGACTATATAGGATTATAAATGGGACAGGTATATGTCGAGCAAATTCTACCACGACACGATCGACTGACTGCCTTTATATTACATTTGTTTATTAAGTCTTACCTAATTTTATGCAACTACTGAAAAGATGGGTTATCTCCACACATAATATGTTTGATGTAGTACAATTAAAATTGATTGATTGATTGATTAATTAATTATCTCTTACCTAATTTTCATAAATTGGAGTTTTTTTTTCTTAGCTTTAATTTTAGGCCCTTTTTATCTTAGGTCCTTTCTGTCTGGGTTGAATTTTTTTACTTAATTATTACAATACACGAGAAACACTCACAAAAAGGACTAGAAAACAAAGTGGAAGTAACTCACTATTCAAATTTCCTATTGACATTCATTCTTTGGATACTAATTTTATTGCACTGATAAATTTTAATTCTCTTTCTCTACATTTTCAACTAATAGTAGGCTTAATTGTATTTTGGTCGCCGAATTCATGTTCAATTTATCAATTAATGGAGTTTTTATATGCAAAACTTGAATGCAGAAACCAAATTAGTATTTTTGCATCTAAGAAGAAAAAGAAAAATAATTATTGAATAAATATATGTTAATATGTAATAATTTTTTAGTTGTGTCTATATTATTATACTACGTAGTACTGGGGCCTCATCTAAAATTTTTGCCTAAGACCCTCATTTGTGTTGGGTCGCCCCTGGTTGTACACTTAAAGCTTCTGAATTTGTGCTGTGAAGTGTACCAGGACTATTAGATTAATGGTATTTTCGGTAGATATAATTAGGGTATCTGACAATTGAAATAGGAAGGATTAGAGCAATATTTTATTCCAAAATGTCGTAGTATTGCTCGACTGGAATTTATTTTTAGGGCTCTCACTACGTATGTCTGGTGCTCTTATTGGATAATTCATCTATCAAGCACAATGCCCTGGTCAGAGAACTCCTTAAGCTTGACAGGTGAGTGCACAACAGCTCCTTGCGAATAAAATAGAAAGGATGAAAATATTTAATGTGAATAAAGATCAAGGTACACTGCTTAGTTTGATTCTGATAATGCAATTGGTGGAAGACTCTTGCAAGTAGATGGATAGTGTTAGGATTATAATTGAACACACTAGCAGTGCATATATATGTGTATTTCAGTATTTGTGCGTATGTTGATGGATCTTGGCCAGGCCCGTGTCATTGCTAAAGTTTCTTGGAGTGATAAACTATGGTGTTTGTCGATCCCTCTAGCTCATGGACTGCTCTGAAGAGACGAACATGTTTCTGTTTTTGTCACTGCCGATTAAGTACAATTACTGAAAAAAAAACTGCTGAACACCTATAGGACTGAAGAAATATCAGCATCTGATTTTTCTAGGTGTTTGATGGCCTTCTCATTGAATGGTCTCCCTAATGGTTACATTATCTGGCATAGAGCATGCAAGGTTACGTGATATTTCACTGCCGCATTTATTTTCTTCTGTTTTTTATTTTCCTTACGCCCATACTGCCATTCACAAATTCCAACAAGAAATAAACAACTTATAGCTGTCAGACCTCCTCAAAGTAACATGCTTCCATGTACGGCACTATATATTCCTTCTACCTTCACAGACCCTAAAATATGAGCAATTCCAAGTGTTGGTTCACCAATTAAGTGAAGGTTGGAATTCTAATGCTCTCCAACAACTTTGTATCGCAGCTAGTAGGAGAATGCTTTCAGTATTTCTCCTGCATCATTGTTTCATATCTGAGGCTCCTTTAAATTTCTTAATTCTGAATCGCCATGATTGCTTTGTCAACTATAATTAAGTGATGCATCATAGGCTGATGCATGTGTGTTTGTTCTTTTTCTCTGACAAAAATGTGCCAGGAAAAGCATATGTGAACACAGCCACTCAGTAGGTTTTTGAAACTAGATTTATAGCTTGAATCAGATCTAAATAACATTTGATAATAGTGGGAAACTTTAATTAACTTCTAAATCTCAGAGTTTGGCTTGAAAGATATTGACTTGTCTTTGATTGAGAATTCCATTAGATGTGAAGAACTCCTATGAAAAAACTTCTCTCTTGTGCTATTGTACTGTATTCTCTCACTGAACTTTTTTTTTTTTTTTTTTTTTTTCTTTTTACAGGTTCAAGTCAGATGAGGAGAGAACACCAGTTTATCTCATTGTTGAGGACACATTTCCGCACCTGCTCAGTATATTTAATAGACTTGTTCAGATTGCCAATCCTTCAATAGAAGTAGCAGACTTGATCAAGCTCATCTGCAAAATATTCTGGTCATCCATATATGTAAGTATCAGGATGCCTTTTCTTGGTGGTGTTCATATAATGTTCTAGAGAGCATTAATAAGTCTTTGTCAAAATGCCTTTCATTGAAGGCATGTGATCATGTTTTCTTAAAAAACTTTTGGACTCTATTACCACCTTTTATGCTTGGTAAACCAATATATATTGTGTGTTGCAAAGTTTTTCTCTTCTTGTGAAAGCCCAAGTTTTTTTTGTTTGCCTCTTTTATAGGAAACAGAAGAATATTATTAATAATAGACATGGACAAGTACATGAGAGGATTGAGGATTGAGGAGTCCTCTATATGAGAAAAGGAGGGACAATAGAAATGGAGAAGCTATAAGTTTAAAAATAGAGAACATGACTAGAAAAAGGACACTTAAGCCTCAATAATCTTCATGCTGTTGAATGCAATGATCTTTAATAAAAAAGAATGGAATTCTTTCAAAATCTTTGGTTGTGGAAGCCCAAAGAGAAGCCACGAATATAATTTTGTCCCCGAAATGTTCCCAAGGAGTATCTCTTTCATCAAACATCAGCTGATTCTTTCCAACTAAGCCACCCTAAACAATTCCAACCCACACAACTCCTTAAAGTCTTATCTTTGTTACTTGAACCAAAGCCATCAAAATGAGTCACAAAGACCGAAGCACAATCTCTAGGGTTCACCCGAAGACTCCAACTGTTTCCAAAAGCCTATTCCACAATTTAGAGACAAAGGAACAATGTAAAAATATGTGGTCCATACCTTTTATTGCGATATGCCTGTTGTAGTCTTTTGTCCTCAATCCTAACATAGGAGAAGCATANGGACTCCAACTGTTTCCAAAAGCCTATTCCACAATTTAGAGACAAAGGAACAATGTAAAAATATGTGGTCCATACCTTTTATTGAGATATGCCTGTTGTAGTCTTTTGTCCTCAATCCTAACATAGGAGAAGCATAACTTATCTTGGTCCATGTCTTGGTCTGATGAATGATAAGTAGGAAAAGATAATGATCTAGGCAACTCCTCAGGGTATCCTTTAACTCTTTTGCCTTTTTTTAGTTGTGTGCTGATCTTACTTTGTTCAATTGATTCTTCTCCATGTTAAAATCCTTTTTTT